CGCCTCGTCTGTAGTGATGGCTCCGCAGCGATCGGATTCGAAGGGTGAGGAGAGGGGGACGGTGGCCGTCAAAGCCGGAGAGGGCCGTCGGAAAAAGAGGGGATTCGGAGGGGTGGGGGCGGGCCGACCGACGAGGCACTGCATTGGGGGGAAACCCGCGGAAGAAATAGAACGGGGGTACGGCCACGACGCGGTATCCGCTCGCAACAGAGTGGGAGGTACAAACAAGAAGAAAAGAGAAAAGCGGTGAAGGAGCGCGACGGGAAAGATGAGGATAACGTGAGGGTTGGTCATGGTGGTGGGGGGGTCGTCGTGGAGAAACGATTCATTGCAGACTCCCGGCCGCCGTGTTACTATGGAGCCCCGGCGGATCGCTCTCCCGGCGGTGACGCGATGCTTCCATTCCATTCGTGAGGGTATGGTCGGGCCGACGGGCCGGCGCCGGCGATAGAGTCCCGCAAAGAGAAGGATTACATGCAGCAGTGAATGAGCGGCCCGGCGAGAGCGAGGGCCTCCATTGCGTAATGAGGGGTGAACAAGGGGTGGGTGGGCGAGGGAGGTGGTGGGGGGCAGGCACCCCCCTCTCTATTTACCCGCCCCTCCCCCCACCTTTCTGCCCCGGTCAGCGTGGCGGCGGCGGCGGCGGCCGGGCTCGCGCGTGGTGTGCACAACTCATCCGGGGCGCTCTTGTGTGGACAGGAAGCGACGTCATCGTTTCGCTGGATCTAGCCGCCGATAACGGCCAGCGCCGGCGCGAGCCCGTGGTGGTGGTGGTGGAGGAGGAGATGGTGGTGGTGGAGGAGGAGGAGATGGTGCTGGTGGAGGAGGTGGTGCTGGTGGAGGAGTTGGTGGAGTTGGAGTAGATGGTCGTGGAGGTGTAAGTGGTGTGGTGGTAGTGGCGGTGGTGAGGTTGTAGTGATAGTGGCGGAGGTGAGGTGGTGGTGGTGGTGGTGGTGGTGGTGGTGGTGGTGGTGGTGGTGGTGCTGCTGCTGTGGTGGTAGTGGCGGTGGTGAGGTTGTAGTGATAGTGGCGGAGGTGAGGTGGTGGTGGTGGTGGTGGTGGTGGTGGTGGTGGTGGTGGTGCTGCTGCTGCTGCTGCTGCTGCTGCTGCTGCAGCCGGGCGGGTAGCCTCCACGGGGAGCTCCGCGCCGCTACTGCTCTGCAAACAGCGAACCTCACTCGCCCCCATTGAAGCCCACGTCCCGCACTGGTCGCAGGTCGCGGGGCGGGGCGGGGTTAGGGCGCGCTAAAAGCGCTCTGCCTCCCGTGTTTGGCCCCTCGGCGGTCAGCGGTCACGCGGTCACACCCGGGGGAGACTCCACTGTCCTGGACTGTCCCGTACGCCGGTGGGATTCCACAGTCAGCAGCATAGATTCCAGGAGTGCCTCTCCCTAGCTCTCCAGGGCCGCTCTCCCTCGACCCCCTCTCCCCCCACGCCCACATTCCGGCAGCAGCAGCGGTGTCTCTCCATTTCGGCGTATACGTATACGGCGGGCTCTCTTTTGCCGTTTCGTTCCACCTCCCTATCCACGGATACATGAGTTCAGCCCCCCCCCTCCTTACCTCCTAGATCCTGGACGTTAACGAGCCTGATAATAGGCAAAATCAGAAACATTCCCTCCCCGGATCGAAGCAGGCAAAAACCACAACAAAAACATGATAGCGCCCCTGCCAAGAACGCGGGGGTGTGAGAGAGGCGGAAACACGCCCGAGGTCTCAAAGTGTGCTCCACACCAAGACGACGGCACCCGCAGCCCTACCCGATAACGACATACGCTGGACCGTATAGACCGAAGGGGGGGGCGGGGTCTGCCTCGTGCCTTCCCTTCCTATTCCGCCCGCTCCGGCCCGCGCGACACTTTGACTTGGAGGAGTGAGTGCGGGCATTCGCCCCTCCCCCGGGCCCCTCCTTGACCGTCCAGCCCACCGCACGCTCCGGTTCTATCCGGACGGCACCACGCGCGCATTCGATAAAAGGCACATGTGTCCGGATGTGTCACACTTCCTCGCCCGGAGCTAATCCAAAGCCTGTCGAGCCCCCCCCCCCTCTCCTTGCAGTACTTTCCCTGCGCCACGCGTACTGGACTGGAGTGAAGCAGGTCAAGGTAGGAGTCGTAAGAGCTCGTCCAGAAAGTACGCGCGTCCGTCATTGGCCGTTGCAAAGCTGTTACGTTCGGCCTACAAGTAAGCTCCCGTAGCGCCTGGTAGGTAGGCAACACATCTTCTGCTGCGCACGAGTGTACTGCGGAGTGGCCTACCCCGAGTCTCGCAGGCGGCGAGACTAGTTTGTCGAATGAATCTGTGAGAAACGAACGTCCTTTCTGGACGATACCCACGGGATATGGCCTCGAATATGTTACTGGTGATAAGGGCGTCTATTTTCATAGGTGAGGAGCAGGAAAGCAAAGCAAAGGAACGCAACGGACGGCACTTGTTTAATCAGTGCTCGGACCCCCCACTCGTTTGACACATGTGTGCGCGAGCACCTAGGGACGACTACTACAGCACTTGAACATACTTCCAGTCGGGTACAGTTGGCGTGCAAGTCGAGTAGTGCGATGCGAGGATGGGACGCAGGGAGTCGGCAGCCTCGGCGCACAGCTTGCAGTAGTCTGCCTCTCGCGCGGGATGCCTCGAGAGCAGGCGGGGCCCGCCCGCAGGTCTGGACGACTCCGGGCCCGGGCAGTCGCTCAGCAGCTGGAGCACCCCGTGGCGCGAGCTGGGCCCGCCGCGCACCAGGCCCTGCAGCACCGCAAGCAGGCCCTCCACCTCGTCGGCTGTAAACAAACAGGGTGGTGGTGGTTTGGAGCTCGGCACGCACAAGTGCAACGCGGCTGCCCAAACGCAAATAGGGCGTTTGCTGATTCAGCGAAATGTTTCCTAATATGGCATGGTGATAGCAAATTATTTTTTTCATGGTTTTTTTGCTGTGTGCCAAAAAGTTGCGGGGAATGGCAAACTTTTCGCTAATATAGACAAGCAGCTTAGGTAAAGTTTTCCATACCTGATCACCATTTTTGGTTTCCTGCAAAACAAGCTTTTGCTTTTGCATTAGCAAACATTTTGGTGAGCCAGCACGCGCCCTATTTTGCGTGTATACACGTGCAATGTTTTACCGTTCTCCAAACCCCCACACCGATGATCACGGACATAATGTTGCCTCCGAAAGGGCACGACGACGAGCAGCTCGAGGGTGGGGATGGCGTCGTGGGAGATGGCGCGTAGCTCCTCGAGGGACAGGTTGTCGAACAGGACGAGCGAGCGCAAGCGGGGCAGGCCGGTAAGGGTTGCGTTCAGCTGGCGCACCCCTGAGAGGCTGAAACGGGGGCTACCGTCATTACCTCGAATACAGTGAGCCCCATAGGCCGCGTACTCGTTTCGTGTGTACTGTTCCGTATGCCTAGCGTCGCTCGCTATAAGAACGGGTAACTTTCTAAAACAATGCGGGCGTATGCGGGACGTGGCGTGTGCATCAGCTGCGACTGAATATGGGCGATAGAAGACGCTTCCACCTTCCACTGCGATAGAGTGCGAGTAGTGAATATGGTGGTAGCGCACATATCGGACTTACGAAAGCGGGTTCTCCCATTCCTTCCAGTCTCTGTACCATTTGAGAACAAGATGCTGAAGGTTCGAAAGCCTGCCCGCCACAACGGCTTGCATGGTCTCGTGACGCCAATAGCGGATCTCGAGGCGTTCAAGTATTGCCGGCCACGTCCTGAACAAGTTCTCCACCTGAAAACGTCAATCAGGGGTCAGGAAAAATAAAAGGGTGCGAGTTGTCGAAGAAAGTCGCTTGGAGTACCTCGTCATACAGGGCACTGATGCTGTTCGGCTGTACAATCCTGAGTTCCTTTAGCCCGGTGATTCGCTGTAGTTTCGACGCCATACCTAACTGCATTACTACTTCGAGGCTGTGGAGATCGCGGGGGCAGGCGTCTACAAGCTCATTGGGGTGCCTTCCCAGCTTCAAAGAGCGCAGCTGCCCGCTGCAAGCAAGTTACAGAATGAAACACTGGCCGATGTCGAGTACACTATGCATGAGGGTTGGTGTAAAGGTACGCCACCTGTGTGCTCTCAACAGCGAGCCAAACGCACAGGAACCTCTTGGGAGAAAAGACTCGTCACCCTTGTTGATTGCCAAACTTACAGAGTTCAGACAGGGCAGCACCACCGCCTATGGACACAAAGACATCACAGTTAGGGAGCCACAGGCCAACTCGTGGCAGAGGGCGAGTCCACTCACCTGTGGCCAGCATAAGTCTTCCCTACGCGGGTCAGGCCCCTTTTCCTTCATCCACCAGTTTTTGACGTGAAGCGTCTCCAGGCAGCGAGCATCCACTAAACGGTCGAAAAGCTGTTCCAGTCCCGGCTCTTCGACATCAAGTTGTCTCAGCTGCGGCCCAAGCTTCCGTAAGAGGCTGTCCGTCCACTCCACGAGCAGTGAGTTCCGGCTATTTCTCCAATGGCCCCTCACCTTCACCACCAACTCCAAACTAGTGCGGAGAGAACTTCCGGTTAGTGAGTGATAGACAATACAGGGTGGCCGACATACCCTGGACAATGTTATACTGTACGGCATGCAGCCACCCTGTCTGAGCTATCTCTGAACAAGATATCTGAAAGAAATATGTGACAAGCATCATAGTCCCCCAAAGGGGGAGATAGGAACAAGCTGCCATGCGATGCTTTGTCGATTTCTTCCAGATTTCTTCTGCTCCAGAGATAGCTCAAATGGACGGTTCCGGCAGTGTCTGTTTGTTTAAAGAGGAATTAAGGAAATCAGCACCGGAAACAGTTCTAAAATAACCGCTAAAACAAGTGCAAATGAGCCTTGACCGTTACGAGTGAGCTATTACAGGTCATTTACATCGAACTGCATTGTCATATGATCAAAATCGGCGAACTGAAGGTACTGATTCCGGCCCAGACTTCCTTACTTTTTCTCGAAAAGAGCACAGCCGGAACCATCTATTGTCTAAGCTATAATAGACATGTTACTGGGGTGATAATCCTACAGGTCCTCACCTGGTAGATAAGCCCAAGAAATGGACACGGACGGGATCAATACTTGAGACATTACAGGAAATCTTCAAAATGTCCACGGACGGCGCCACCCGCAACAACGCCACGAAGGCCTCGACGCTCTTGAAGCTATCCTGCCCCCGCCAGAGCGACCGGTGCGTCCTGGTCAGGTCGCCCAGCCGAGGAGTCGCCAGCATGATAGTAGGACCTAAGATGGAGAACCGGCTTGGGGCCCCGATCCGCTACGCCACTGCGCGTTGCGACGTGTAACTCCCGTTCAAGAGAACTTACACACAAAAGGAAAACTGTTTTAGAATCTAGAATGTCTGCTGATTTGCCGCATATAAAAATAATTGTCGAACAACAGTCTGGAAGTGGAGATATGGAAGCTTAAAGTTACGCCGCCGCTGTCGCGAAGGCGGCGCCTCTGAGCGCCACCGCCTGCTGGCAAGATCTTAGCCGTTCCGGCAGTGTTTTCTTTCTTCTTCTCGATCCTGGGCGTATTCTCGTTGTTTTTATTTCTCAAATAATGAAAATGCTGCACTATTGGG